CTTTTAATCCAGTCCAGTAGTTCTCTAAGTCTATCTACATAAGAAATGTAGTATAGGAATTTATCTCTTTTAAAGAAGACTAACAGGCAAGACACAAGAAACAAAATTCAGATGGGATGAAACCCTCAGGAGCAAATTTAAGTGAAAATTAATGCAATATCTTATATCCAACAGCAAAACAAAGAGACCTGGCTTAAGGCCCAGGGGGAGACAAAGAAGAGTGCAAGTAGTTCAATCTGACTGCAGTAAAGAGTTCCTTCTACACATTTAAAAAGAGCAAATCTACTTACAAACAAACCAAGATAAAAAACACCAAGAAAGCCTGGTTGAAAAAGCCATAGATACCAGCACTGGCTCGAGATGGCAGAGAAGGGCTTTTGCTCATGGTCTTCTTGTTATTGCTGCTTGCATTCGCTTTCTTGGGGTAGCTCTGTTTGTGTTCCAAAGAAGATGTAGAGGAGGAGCTGCTGATGGATCCGTGCAGGGTAACTAAAACAGAAACACAAAAGAATGCATTCAAGTGCAGAAAATAAGAAGTGGGCCAAGGAGATGCTTTTCTAGGCAAATCCTTCTGAAATGCTCCATTTAGCTTCCTCAACTGTGGATTATCTAGTGTTAAATACCTGATGTCATCCAAATATATTGTAGTTAAAAAAGACTTTGGGCACATGCCTATAATCCCAGTGTCTCAGGAAGCTGAGGCAGGAGGATCAAGGCGAGTCTCAGCAACTTAGCAAGGCCCTAAGCAATTTAGCAAGACCCTGTCTCAAAATAAAAAATAAAGGACAGAGGCTGTAGCTCAGTGGTAAAGCACCTCTGCATTAAATCCCCAGTACCCCCCACTCCAAAAAAAAAGATTTTATAACACAAGTAATTGTTTTTTAAGGATTCAGCACAATCTTAAATAGGAGGTGCTACTACATCCATTAATGTTAACTACCTATCTAATCTGACCACCATCACCTTAAATAAATACTGACAGTAGAGTCCTATTTTATTTACATTATAAAACACACACACACAAAAATGCCATTAATATGTTTTAAGATGGCCAAAGTTCAATACTGCTCACCTAAGGATTTGACAGGTAAGGCAACTTAAACATTGCTGTCAGGCTGTTTGTAACTATGCAATCTCCTTTTATTGCCTCTTTTAATCCAATCCAGTAGTTCTCTAAGTCTATCTACATAAGAAATGCAGTATAGGAATTTATCTCTTTTAAAGTACACACTTTATTATAAGCTGGTTAACTTTAAAACTTAACCCCCATGTAAGCTGTTTTTCTATGATATTAAAATTCCACCAGCAAATTAAATTTTTAGAAGTTATAAATTATATTACCATCTTTCTCTGTTAAAGTTTTCAATTCTTCACTAGGAGGCAACGAAAGTGCTGATTCAGAAGCACTCTCTTTTTTTGATGTCATCAATCCTAGGACATGAAAATAAAGCACTTTCAGCAAAAGAGAATTTTCTTTAACATTAAACACACAAAAAATGTATTTGTTTTAAAAACTACATGCATTCCTCTTCATCTAAATCTTATCTTCTTCTGAAAACATGTTGGATAATAAACACAGAAGCCAATATTTCATCTTTAGAGGAAAAAGAATGCATTTGCAGCCAATATGAAAGCCCCAATTTCATGATCTGCTAAGGATTTCCAAGGAATACAAAACATGTGCCACCCAGGTGCCTCACTGACGGCTGACACACCCTCTGGTGAGCACATCTGCACCGTGCTGTCAGGTACAGCAAACTGAAGACAGGACGTGCAGGGGCCACAGCTCACTGGAACCTGCAAACAACTAGTTCACCAATGTTTGCATGCAATTCATTGCAGCAGGTATTCTGTGCAGTGAATTTGGGGTAAAAATTTTTGCCAATTATTATAGCAATTCTTCACTTATGAGAGTTCAGATGGTAAGAAGTCCTGTACTTTGTCATTGGTATTCTGAAAATGACTACCCCACTCTACCACACCCTACTCTCACAAAACTTTTACATGGAGCAGGGAAGCTCTTAAATAATAATCTGCCTTATTAAGACTTTTGTTTCAACTGTACAGAACTAAATAATTTAAATAGGAAATCAAACGGGCTACACATAATTTTAAGTTCTGTCTGGTAGAATTCTATTTACTTATGAAGCATTTTTAACAAAGAACTGTCCTTGGGACTTTGAATATCACAAGGTACTCAAAGATTAACAAGGCATGGTCCATGCCCTGAGGAGGTAGGTCCTGCTCGGTTCAATATGGATGGCATGAGTAAAATGTGAGAATACTCTTCACGAGGACAGGAGAAGGAGACAGTAACTGCTGCTGTAACCATGAACAAGTGCGCCATCACCAAGGCCACAAAACACTGAGATAGGCCTTGAGGAACAAGTGAGATCTTTCCCCAGAACACTGGAGGTACAGTCAGGAAGAATTAAGAATGGAAGCTCAGAATGGAGAGAAAGTAGCTCTTGCAGGAAGACAGAGCACGGTAAGTACTTGGCTGGAATGGAGTAGTTTTTGGATGGAGAAGTAAGACTAGATGGACAGGTGTCAGAAGATCTCCCAGGTAAGAGTGCCTGCCTAAGGAATGGAAGCTCTTCAGTAGTGGAGGAGTCTCCACTGGGCTTTAAAAAGGAGGACTGGCCTCACAGAGTCCTGGTTATGTAACATTTCTCCAACTTAAGGCCTAAAAGAAAACCAGAGGTGGAGAAGCTGATTGCAGAAACTTGGGGAAACTATGACAGCAATCAGGGATGAGGACCTGAACTAGACACCACAAATGGAATGAGAAGACAACCTGCTGGGTAGATTTCTTATTTTTTAATAATTTAATTATTATGTTTTTCTGTCTTAATTATCCATTTGGTCCTTTTTTTGAAAGTTTTAATTGAGATCACCGTAAATTCATGCTGTAAAAAGTAATATAAGATCCCTGTACACTTTGTCCAGTTTCTCCAAAGATAATGTTTTACAAAACTATAATCCCAAATCAGGAAACCAACCTTGATATAATCCAGTGATTTTACACAAATCATCCAAGGTTTACTTGTGTGTGTGTCTGTGTGTGTACACACAATATATGACTCTTCACATCTTCTGTTTCTCTGCTAAAATTGTCTTTCCATTTGTTTCAAGAGAATTCACCCTTAGTTCTTGGAGCATAGTTACAATTATTCTTTACAATTATTCTATTCTTTAAAGTCTTTATGTGTTAGTTGCAACATCCGTATCATCTTAGAGTTCCTATGTGAATGTTTTGTTATTGGACAATGAGTCACGTTAAACCCTTTGGAGAATGTTGTTTTGTTGGTTGGTTTTCTTTTGCTTTAGCAGAAGTCACAACCTGGTTAGGTTCAGGCTAGAACTTTCTGCCCACCTTCTGTGCGCAGCAGTTCCCATGGCCACTGAGTTTCCAAAATCTCTGCAGTGACATTCAAATCTATTTTATGTGCTATGCCACCAAGTAGTCAGTTGGGCCTGGGAAGTAGTCTATCCAGAGACCACCACCTTTGGTCAGATTCATACACACCCAACCTGGGAGTTCCTGTCTAATATTTGAAAGTCACATCTTCTCGTGATCTCCCTGACAGCTCCAGGACACTCCTTCCTCGCATCCTGAGTACAACACCTCCCACGGTTTTCATTTCCCTACTCTGTCATGAGATGGATTCTGCCTCTAGGGTCCAGCTATGATAAAACAGAAAGAACTCTGGGGACTCCATGCATGTTTTTAG